GATGTTAAATTTAGTCGTGGATATTTAACAGAACAAGCAAAACAATGATGAAATGCCCCACAAAGAGCTATTAACTTATAAATGATACAAACTTTTGAGAGATACCATTCCATGAGCCACTAACTTATTTGCACGGAGAAAAATATGTAACAAATGGGTCAGAAGGATCTAGGTAAGGCAGGCACATAGGCCTTGATGTAGTTTCTCTCTCCGCAGTAATACCATAAAAATGGTGCAATCATAAACTTTCTACTTGTAAGCATACTTCCTACTAAGCTTTGTCAAAAGTGATAAAGCTTCAGTGACAAACAGAAAAAACACAATATAACAAGGCAAATGGTGTTTCAGTGCTCTAGGATTTGAAAGGAAATTTGAATGAAATCTGTCATAATATTTTACTTATATTTATCAAGTCTAAACAAATGTGTTTTCAGGTAGCTTGCTCAGATTTTGATGTAAGCCAAGAAATAAAATGAGGATGTGCATCTAAAACCTTGAGTAGGTGAGATGTTAAACTTTGTTTCTGCTATAATTATAATACAGGACTCTGTGGTTCCTACAACAACAAAGCTGAGGATGATTACATGTCAAGTCAGAATATATTGGAGAAGACTTCTCAGGCATTTGCTAGTTCTTGGGAAATGATGCCTTGTCCTAAAGGAAACCCTTCTTCATGTATCAGTATAGAAAAAGGTACTATTAACTTAACATCTAATCTGCAATTAAATATTTGGTTGTAGCATTATGTGTTTATCCTGATGATAATGAATTTATCAGATAATCCTGGCTTTTGCTAATGTTTGTTATGTTGATCTGGTTCTGGAGGAAATAGTAGAGAAGCCCTCTGACTGAAATGCTCCTAGAAAACTCAATTTCATGGGGGGTTAATCTATTATGTTTTTCTTTCTTGCGTAGTTTTTAAAAATAATTATAGAATAATAGGGTTAGAGATAATTTTGAGATAATTTAGTTTTAATTTTCCTTTCTTTAAGTGAGTGGTGGAAATAGTCATTGATTAAAATGAATTAAACACAAAAAATGATTTAGTCGATTTAGAGTTGTGTCCTATCCCTTCTCTCATTGGTATAAGTAATACCAAACCTCAATTATAGATTGTAATAAAATTTTAACTTGTATGACTCAGCCTGCGTTTCAGTTTACCAGAATATTTTCATTTATATTAACCCAATTTATTTCTGTAAAAATACTCATGAAGGACACAGAGTGGGGGTGGGTTATCCTTCGTAATGTAGATATTGATAATGGAGCTCTGAGAGTGTATAATGAATAAGGATTACAGATGAAGTTATGATCCAGGTATTTTAAATCCAAGTCATGCTTTCATTGCTCCCTATACTTGTTGATTTCCATTAATGCTTTATGTTGCTTCTT